CCTGTACTGGGAGTAATATGTTCTATAACATGGGGCTACCAATGAGGTCAGTCACCCAGTCCACACCCCATGAACTTCATCTGGACATCTAGAAAGTGAAAGATAGTTTATGCTGCACGCTTGTCTTTGCTTAAAATTAAATAGATAAATACCTCAAATTACTTTCAAAAGTATTGCTGCTATACTCCAATTCTATTGGAATATGTTAACCATATATGACTACATTCATGCCAATAAACTGTCACTAACTGCTATTCAGTATATAATGCCATGTATAGTGATAATGTATACTTTATACCATATATTAGTGTGAATCCACATGTATGAAGATCACATATAAAACAGACCATAGAATCAAAGCTCTGAAAGAGTACAGCTTGTGCATCATGTCGAGAAAGACATCTTCAAAGAAGACACAATGAAAAGCAGTTCTCATAGCAAGAGATGACTCCAAAATAGTTTGTTCTCATATGTTGTTCATGAAGGAATGGCACTCTGATGGAAAAGTGCCGAGAGGTGTGAGAAAGTACCAAGGTGGGATTGACTTGTCAAGCCTTGATGGAAATTGAAAAAGTAGACAGGAATTATAGCCCTTTGAAACCGCTGGCCAACTAAATTTTGACTTAAAAGGGATTGATAGTTATTTGAACAAGTGAACTGAACAATACAAGTTATAAACCTGCATTTGTTTCTGTACTGTATGCCCCAAGTCTCTGGATTTAAAAAAAAAAAGTAGCCAGAGGCATCATAAAGTTCCTCTTTATGTTTTCATTTATACCACCAAATTAGGTTTTGTTTTTATTTAGTAGACATGAATGTGAGACTTATGACACTGAAATACAAACATTAAATTAAATGAACTTTGAACAATGACTTGCCACATTTTGTATCACTTGTAAAATTAAATAAACAAACAGTAGCAATAATAATTTTTAATTGTTCTGCCTTTAATAAAACAGAACAAAAAAATAGCAAAATGAAAAAAAGAAATATAACTTAGTTTCTCACCCATATACACTTATATAAATATTCAGACAATAGATTCAATAAAGGATGGCTACATTTCATTATCATCATCCATACACAGTCTATGTCTGTAAGCAATTTGTTCATAAATATCAAATAATGTCAGATTTTCACTCTGCTCAGTAATTGGAGCCATAAGTTATCTTTCCAATGTTGGAAGTACTAGTCTCTTAGCAATAAGAAAAGTATGGAGAACCCATTTCATTGTCCAGCTGTCAGTTTTTATGTAATAACCATTTAGCTAAAACAATATGGACATCTGAAAATATTAAATCTTGTTTCAGAGTCAAATTAATATAAGTTATTACTTCCTCTCAGAATATAACTTTTAAACATCACAAAAACACATTTTAATTATTCTCATTACATTTCCAACATCATACTTTATTCATTCCTTTTCTATTCAAATGTAATGAAGTTCAATAAGTTTATAATATTTTTTTGTTGAATAAGCTGTAGTCAGGGGCACTGCACTCAAATAAAAAGGGACAGGGCTTTGACTGCCTGGCTGTGCCCCCCATTTTCAAGCCAGTGACCATCACTGTGGATGCTCCTCTTAATCTAAGATCTATTGATATTTTTGATACTGATACTGTTTCCCATTGTTTTGTCAAAATCAGGATCTGCAATTCCCTATTCTATTCAGTCTTTAAATTTTGTATTTCAAATTGATTTATCACTAGCAAGTATTTATAAGGCTAAACGAGGGCTTTTTTTTGCCATCCAAATCTTCCATAAAAATTTTTTTTTAATCAGTTTGGATTACCCCACAGCATCAATTTAGCTTGAAGAAAAAGATCAAAATGGAATTTTCCAGAAATAGTATATCACAATTTTTAAATCGATGTGATAGTGACTTACTAAATCTATTATATTTTGAACTCCTAACAATTCAATTAACTAAAGACATCACATATGAATACAGGTAGTCCTCGCTTAATGATGGTAATTGGGACCAGCAACTCCATTGCTAAGCAATGTGGTCATAAAGTGTGAGATCACGTGACCACGTCAACTTACGACGGCAGTTGTGGCAGTCCCAGTTGCCGTCATTAGGCGAATCCCATGCAGTCAGTGTCCTGCGGTCACCTGATAACCATTTGTGACCTCCTACCATGTTCCCCATTGACTTTGCTTGTCAGAAGCTGGCAATGAAGGTTGCAAATGGCGATTATGTGACCATGGGACACTGTGATGTCATAACTGCAAGCACCCAAATCACAATCACATGACTACGGGGAGACTGCGATGGCCGCAACTACAAGGACCCATTGTAAGTCTCTCTTGTTGAGCACTACTGTAACTTCAAACAGTCACTGAACGAGTGGTCGTTCAATGAGGACTACCTGTATTCCAAAAGGGCCTAAGTGAAGATATCCAAAATTTAGTACTAGAAAGGTATACATAATAGTGTAATTCAAGATTCAGAAAATGAAAGCCCCTATCTTTAACTGACAATTGGATGTTTTTCAAAGATATCTTCAGAACCGAAAAGAACCCATAGAAATTTAGAGGACATTATACAGAATTTTTGAGAATGTGTTTCAAATATGCATATGGGAATTCCATGCAAACTATAAGGTATACATCCTGGGAATTACATTCATTTTGAGAATAGTAACCCTGCCCCAAAGTGTGAGGCTTAAAGACTTGCATTTATCAATATTCAAAGAAACCTCTTTGCATACCTTACTGATATTTAATGCAATTATTTGAGAAATGTCACATGGGATAAGAATACCTTACTTGTTAATAAATTAAGTATATTTACAAAAATAAGTTTTAGAAATATCTTTGTCTGTTGGCATCAGTTCCAACTTATATCAGGTGGAATTAATCAAGTGCATCAGAGCTAGAAAGATGATGTTCAGAAATAAGCAATAAAATATTATCAGCATATAAAAACATGGCAGCAAACAGCAGATCCTTCCTGAACACAGCAATTTACTTGAATGTGTTTCCCTTGCTGTTTAATTTGGAAGCTCTTTATGGTGCAAGTAAACATTTGACCTGTCTTCTGCTTTACTATATACAAAAATGACAAGGAACTTCCGTCTCTTGCTTATACTGTCAGGCGAATGCATGGTAGAATAACTGATGAGTTGACTGTAAAAACAAAACCTTGATTGTCTTCTACTGGGATGACCTTTCCCCAACTGGGGTTTCTGGGGATCTGTTCTTGAAGTTGCTGCTTTTGCATCATGTTTTTATCTCAACCATCTCCCATCTTCCAGCAGCTCAATTTGGTATCCTTTTAGGGGAAAGAATGAAAGCCAGAGTGCTCCTGTTTTAGTGTACCAGTAAGAGTCAATTGACTTAAGCTTCCATAGCATGCATGATGTCATGTTTGACAAGGCCTCACTGCCTGGGCATTGTTTGGAGATGTGGCTCAGGCTACGATTACTTTAGATGTGTGTGAATCTGAACCCAAGCCAAAGTTGGTAAGAGACTAAAATCAATCAGTTGGCTGACATTGTACTAAACCACTGTTTGTTTAACCATGCTTACTGCATAAGCCACAATGACTGGATCCACACACTGTGCTAAGCCATAAACTGTGTTGGAAATCATTGCCTGAATTCACAAAACACACTAAGCTAAAACCAAACCAACTTCATTAAGTGATGCATAAGAAGGATAAGGAAATTATACTCAATTGTATACAGTAAAAGGCTTGGGACAACAGTAGCAAACTAACTTGTTTTAAGATAAATTGGTATATGTGCATGGTTGAATTGGAAAGAGAACTTGAGTTGGTGGGACACCTGGAATTACACCAAAAAGTCTCCCCTCTGCCCACCTCCACTCTCTAACCGACTCACCTTTTGTCTCCTTTTTTTTAGCTCTTCTGCTGGTGTTTCCTTCCCATCCTCTCCAGGGATGCAACTGAAGAGGCCTGGGCTGCAAAGGGATACAGAAACCTCAAACCTTTGCTACCATTTGCCACCTGGTATTTGCAGCCCAGCTATAGACGCTTTAATGGGGGAAAACAAAACAAAACCCCCATTTGTGTATGGAAGGGAAGAGAAAACAAAATGTTAGTGTGTGTGTGTGTGTGTGCGTGTGTGTGGGGGGGGGGTAAGGAACAAAGAAACCAACACTTCTGCGTATCACAGGAAAGTGTGCTGCTAACTTGGACTGTACCATTCTGCTCAGAAACCCAAGATACGTTTTTGCTAAACACACTCTGCTTAGTCAGCTTATCTAAAAAGCCCACCTCATCTCCCACTTCTTTGTTATAGCGTTGTTTTAAATTGGAGGTGCATTTAATTATACAGCAAAAAAAACCTCACCAGTGCCCTCCCTCCTTGAGTTATTTAAACGGCCCCTCTAAAGGAGAGTGAATCGTAATTGCCCGCTTGCTCTGGAGCGCCCCACATCGGGATGAAACGGAAGCACGCTTGGACTGGCTGATGAGGGAGTCCCGAGCAGGAACTGCTGGGGAACGAGACGCGATATTGGTGGGCATTGCCAGCTTGTGTATTTCACTCTGCAATTACTCTTGCACGGTTTTGCACAGCGTGCTTCTATCAAAGAAACACTTGCAGAAGATTACTTCCCAATTCAGCCACAGAGAGCCCGTTACGACTGCCCGCGTTGTTCGGCTGCTTGCTTTTTGCCCCAAGAAAGCCGCCACAAAAATAGCGCCCCCGATGCTCAGGAAAGCGCACATGAGGGAGCAAAACCCTCATCTCTGCTCCCCGAGACACGCGCGAAAGAGCGGAAAGTGCCTTTCACCCCCGCCGGTGGCTCTGACAGAAAGGTGGCCCGTCCAGCCGCTCGGCCGCTGCCTACGGAACAGCTGCCCTCCTCGGGAGCGCCGCCCCCGTGAGCCCTCCCGCCACTTCTTCCTCCCGTCCGTCGCTCCCGAGGCTCGTCTCCCCCTCCTTTAGCGCCTCTCTTCCCCGCCCACGCGGCTGGAAAAGACCCTAGCGGGCGGCTCCCCCTCCGCCCCTTGCAGTAGCCTGCGCCGGGGCTCGGAGGGTGCTCCCGCCGCCGCCGCTGCCGTCGCCACCGCCCTCTCTCAAGAGTCAACTGAGGGCGGCGGGACCCCGGTGGGGCTGCCCCTTTGGACGGCGGGCTCTCCGCGCGTGCTTGAAATTCTGGGATTCTTCCCTTTGGACGTCGTCGCGTTAGCGGCTGCGGAGCGCGAGCCTGACGGGCGAGAGGCTTGGCGAGCGGTGGCCCCCTCGCGTGAGGTATGTTGCCCCTGGGTTCCGGGGTTGCGTTGCTCCTCAGTCCTCTCCCGCTGAGGAAGAACCCCTACGCTGGGAATGGCTTGTTTGGAAGCAACAGCATTGCTCGGCTTTTAGGGAGACCTCAGTGCTGAGCGTACCTGCCAGAAAGCCCGAATTAAACGGGGCTAGAATCTTCCCAGGAAACGCTTGTGCGCCTGGCGACACAGGGAAAGCTGAATGGCAACTTGGATCAAGATCAGTGGCAAAAGGTGCATTTAATGAAAGTGGGAAAATGAAAATGTCTTGGTGAACCAGAAGTGCAATGTACAAATGCACATCTGAAAAAAAATTGGCTGCAGTTCCATGCCCCTTTTGGAATTGGTGCGACGGAACGGGGCGAATCTGCATAGGAACGGACGGGAAGCATCCTCCATCCCTAATACTCTGTTAAATCAAAGATGTTAAAGACAACTTAGCTGGAAATAATGGTAGCTTCAGGAGCATCTGTGACCAGAATTTAACACCACTTTCTTAGGGTTGGACATCATTCTTGGAAGTGAGACCATCTTTTGTGATTCCTAAGAGGGCAATAGTGGAGCCAGAGCAAGATTAAGCAGACTTGCATTTAAAGTCCAGGAAAGGAAGCCCGGGGTGGAAGTGAATATGCTGTGTGTACTCTTAAGTAGAGTTTAGGCATTGATGGATGCATTTACCATGACAAATATTTTGGTTTTGCACAACTGGTACACAAAGGTCTTTGAGTGTTTACGGAGCTTCTGTACAGATTTGTCAGGGCAAAAGATTTTGCTCCTTTGAAACACTCAGCTTTTAAATTCAGAACCAACCGTGCATTTCCTTTTTGGAAAACTGACACTAATTTTATCCAGATTGCCTCTCTGAGCTGTGTGTGTTGGAATCACAGAAGTCTTTTACTAAGGTTACTTATTTGATTTTCAGCTTCAGACACCTTGTTTAAATAAATGAAATGAAGGCAGCAGAAAAGTAGAAAGGGGGGGGACCATAAAGAGTAATTGCATTTAATAAAAACAGACAAGGCACTTTGATTAGTCTGCAATAGTTAATTCAGGCTCCGTGTGTCCCTTTGAACGTTTTTGGCTTAAAAGACTCCTTCACTTCTGCATACACCAAGTGAACATGAAGCAGAATGAAGTTATGGTTAAACCCAATTTCATACACGAAGAATGGAAATGCTTTTCTTGCATTCACACCAGACCCACCGAAGGTTTGGCTGTGGCTTCTTATGATTTATACATTTATACTTTGTTATTGGCAAAACTGAACCTCTTTTATACATGAGGCATTCCACGGGGCTACCAAAGTTCCACATACCTGTTTTTATTTGAGTGTGAGGGGTTTTTGTTCCCTGTGGACCAAGCTGGAATTATTTAGAAGGGAAAGTGATTTAGTAACATACTAAAGGTGCTTCGAGATTTCAGAGGTCTTCTTACATTGCAGCGTGAAAGGGAAGTAGTGTTGACAGCATTAACCCTAAGAACTCAATTAAGTCATTACCAGCGCAGAGGGGAGAAAACAGTTTCTTTGCCAAAAGTAATTTTCTCTCTCCTTGCAGTAGTTTTGAGGTTTTTGGGGGAGAATTTGTCTTCCTGTGGGAGTCACCTGCCACTTAGATATTGAAAAGTCTCCACTCTTTAATTTCTGCCTTAACTGTGACACTGATGACTTGCATATACATTCCAATGATTCATAAATGGATTTGTGAGCCATTATTTTGGAAACTTACCATTCTACATTGCATTTGGGATGTAAGTATTCAAGAAAGTGGAAAATAACTGTGAGGTTCTGGAATCTGTCTCAGATTACTGTACATTGAAACAAGTACACCTTCAGAAATAGCTACATTTTATGCTTTATTTTGCAAACAGGCTACTGAAGTTTAATTTCACAGATAATACATACTGCCAGTCACTCCCTCTCAGCCCTAGGAAGGAGGCAATTGCAAACTGCTTTTGAAAAACCTTGCCAAGAAAACTGCAGGAACTTGTCCAGGCAGTGGCCGGGAGTTAAAAAAAAAAAAAAATGACTTGAAGGGACCTCCCCCCCCCCCAAAATGGCATAAAAATGATTGGATTGTAAGAAAAAAATTGGGAGGAGATGGGAGGGAATTTCTCAAGAAGAGAATACAAGAGCTAAAAGGACAGTCAGGTGTAGTTAAAGAACTGAAGTGAGTAATTATTAGGGAAAGAAAATCTTAAGTGAGAGTCCCAAGAGTGGACCAAGTATTGTATCTTGAGGCTTTTTCTGGATAATCCAGTCCATTTCATGTAATACTTAAACATCCAAACCCTTGAGATAGGATAGGGTAGGATAGGACATCTACATTTTAAAAATCTGAATGTTCTCACCACCTTGTAAATTATTCAGTGGTTCTTAGGAGACATGGTAGACATATTCCTTGGGGGAACTAAATCTTCATCAGATTAGAAAAACAAGAGTCCTTCCAAATTATAAATTATATCAGGAAGATAGATGGCAATGGCACTCTTTCTAGTAAATTGCATCCTCTTGTACTGTAAACCTTTTACAATCTAACAGTAATAATGATTAGAGTAAATGCAAATTCCATTGATAGTCAGTAGGTTCTGTCTATGTGCAAAATGTTTTCAGGATTTCAGAACTAGAACTGAGTTATTCTTGTTAACTCTGGCAAACCTTAACCATTTGTTGCATGGGTGAAATAAATGAAAGAACTGAAGGGTGAAGTCAGTCAGTCAGTCAATGAGGTTCCTTTAACTGTGCTTACTGCAAACCTCTTTGGCCTGATCAAGTATCTTACATATACTTTGTGGGTTGCATACAGGGACTTTTCCCCTTTCCCTTCTTGGCATCTTCTTCAGGCCCTTTAGTTGGAAAGTTCTGCCCATGGAACTTCACTTACTATTTGGTGATTGTTTTTCCTGGCTAGCTTATGGAGATAAGAATTAATAACACCAGAGAAAGTATTATTATTTCCATTCTATACTGATAGTTAATATATTTTTGAAATATAAGATAGGATTTTTTAAAAGCCAATATTTAAAATTCAGGAAGCATTTTATAAAAAGCAAAGTTAGATCCTCTCTACTCAGATTTACAGTCTAAAAGTAAGGGACAAAACAGCAAAGAGGAACCATGTGAATAAGTACATAGGAATTTGTGGAGTCCTTGGTGCTCTCTGAGCTTGGCTGTTTGCTTGCAGACGTTTCATTACCTGATTAGGTAACATCATCAGTGCAAGTGAGTGTGGGGTTTGCTGCCTGTTTATATACAGTAGCTTGCCCTGCCAATCTTGGTGGGGGTGTGGCTTTCTCTTTGGTAGTTCCTTGGTTGCGGTACTGTTTTCTGCTTGATTGTTTGTCTGGTGTTAATCCCTGCTTATCTGGGTGTTGGCTGCTGGAGAGGATATGTTCTGGTCTTTTTGTTTCCTTTTTAGCTTTTTTTTATTGTCTCTCTTGAATGGTATGTAAATGTGGTTTATCTCTATGTGTCTGTTGATGGCTGATTTGTCTGAAT